AATTGTGTTTTTCATGAAATTGTATTTGTGATATTATATTTCTTCAAATTGTATTCGTTGTTGTATATGTCTTCAAATTGTATCAGTAGTTGCATCCTTTTAATCGTATATGTGACTGTGGTCTGCTTGAAATCATATTTTGTGGCTGTACACATGATATTGTATTGGGGATTGCATATTTCTTCAAAGCGTAATTGTGGTTGAACGCGGGTGACCTGTGGCAGAGAAGGCAAGACAATAATTGTGTCTGTCAAGCACATGATCGTTGTTCCAATATGATTTGTATAAGAGGACTATATTGACTAACGATGTTCACAAACACATGTGGAAACCCTTAATGAACTCGACTTCAGTCAGGATATGTCGAAAACATTCATCCTTTCAGTGACATTCAGGTGCACAATTGAAGTTGCACGTGTTTGTGACTGGTGCCACCGATGGAGAACTATAAACTAACATTTCGCGAACACCTGGTATCACATAACACGTGCTTATGATATGGCCGGAATCGTAAATCGACACTGGGTTTAGGAGAGATTTCTTATGAATGTGAGGGGGCTCGGGTGGCCTAGTCATCTAAGGCTCCGCGATTCGCTGTGCAGAGTTGCGTCCCTTTGGCACGCCAGAAACCTATGATTGTGGGTTCGAATCCCGGTTCGCCCCGATTATGTTTTTAGGTTTGTCAGCACCATACCCGTGCTCGGGGATTTCAAGTGGTAAACGTCTGAGACCTGCATGACTTCAGGCTTTCCTCCCACATTAAGCTGACACTCCGCGATATAACTGGAATAGTGTTACAAGCGGCGTTAAACCCAACTCACTCACTCACTCACTAACTTATGAATTTGAAAAACGTTTTGTCGTTTTTATTTTATGTCACATATTTTGACGAGGGCTTTTAAGGTGTGGGTTTCAGCCACAATGCAGGATGGCTCTTTGCACCACGAAAAACTCTGATCATATCGCATACATATATTGGTACCATTATATACGCATTTTGTAAATGTAAACCTTTTCAGTGTCAAAGAAAGGGATTACATTTCCTTGAATGGACTTCCTTCCGCACGACGTATTCCCAAGGTGGAATAATCTATCGAAGTGCTTGAAGTAAAAGGCAATGACAAGAGGAGAGTGCGTCCAGTCGAGATTGCTTTGATATCGAGTGCATGTTATTCTTATACCAACGTGGACTAAATTCGGACCGTGAGCAGGATATATACTCTGAAGCAATTTAGAAATAACATCAGTTACTTTGATCGACCTGGGGGTAGCTTTCTGTCTGAATGGTTGTCTAATGGAAATGTCTCTACGGTCTAGCGAATACAGACAGTCTAGGTCAAGGCTTCCGAAAAAACTGCTCGTGTGACCTTTGGACGTTTCTTCAATATAACAATCCTTTGCGACAAGATCTAAGCAGATTAACAACCTTGACATTCGTGACAAGTGTGTTTTCAATGATGGTTTGTCGGTTACAGATGCGCATGATTGATTTGTGTGTGACGTCACTTTGAACAGTATTTCAGTGTCTCGACGTGTCAGTTTTAAGTGGATAGAAAGTGATGCTGGCATGAGACGTTTACAACTTTGGTGAAATCCATAAACATACTTTTGTTAGGTATTGTGTCGACAAACCAAAATACATTGTGATTTGAACTAATGGCCATAGCTGTCTGGGATGCAACCAACGGGCACGGTATGGTGTTGGGATATCAAAACTCAAACTAGCATTCCCAAGGGTAGGATGAAGTGGGTGGGACGTGGTTGAACTGAACAAAAATGTGGACACTTTAAATAATGATCGGTCCCTTGTGGTCGTGCGGTTTCCCAGGTTCGCCCCTCTTACAACATAACCTCACGCGTGAGACCAATGGAACCGTCTCATCTGTTTCGTGTTTCTAATCGGTGATCAATTGTTGTATGTTTGTTTGTTGTTAAGCGCCGCCCTCAGCAATATTCCAGCTATATGACGGCGGTCTGTAAATAAACGAGTCTGGACCAGACAAGACAGTGATTGACATCATGAGCATCGCTCCACGCAATTGGAATTGATGACATTCATCAACAAAGTCAGCGAGCCTGACCACCCGATCCCGTTAGTCGCCTCTTACAATAATTGACTTGCCCTTGCACGTGTTTGTGGTAGATGTCACCGGTAGGGTAGGATGCTCTAACCTTATTGTAAAAACCTTTACCTACTCTATTTGATAGTGATCTAGTCGGAATTGTACCCAAGGCAATAGACTACGATTTCTTCTGATTTTGGAACAAATTTGTCACTTTTATTTTCAAGTATATGGTAACGGTGTCCTGCGCCTTTTGTGCTTTCATCCTACGTCAAGCGGACTCCGTCATATTACTGAACCGGGGTTGAACATGCACCTTATGCATTCCTCGGGCAAGTTTGACCACGCTACATGTATAAAATCCAATTCCGAAACATGTCCTTCAACAAATACATTAACTACTTTTATAACGAACACGCTTATAACGAACTGACGGATAAAAAATTATCTTGAGTCCCGACCATGTGTTGTATATATGCTGTATGTATGCTTATAACGAACTACGGTTATAACGAACTAAAATTAGTGGCCCCCTCGAGTTCGTTATAACCGTAGTCTACTGTACTACAAATTAAAGTGTTCTTTCTGAAACAAATTACTGTTCAGAGGTCCGATTTCAAAAGCACTATTGACACAAGACGATTGAAAGTAATTTTTGACGAAGATGATTAGAAATGTAAAATATTTCAAGTTCCAGACGAAGGAAAATCCAACGCGCCAGGCCAGAAAAGGGCAGCGTCTAAATACGGGACTTCCAGTCGAGCGTTGATGCATGTCACAATGACCTACAAAGAAGTTGACTGCCAATTAAGTTGGCGATCATCTCATATAAACTTATGTCTGATTAAAAGTTTATGTCGAATATGACGAACATGAGTGATTAATGCTTTCAGTAAATGATACCTACAGCAGGAATCTGATGTCATTTGGAAAAATGACAGGCGTAATGATGTTACGAGTTACACAGGCTATTTGCTGGCTTATGACTTCAAACAACGGGTCATTTCCTTTCGAGGCTTTTATTGCCTGAATAGTAATTCAGCTGGTCGTTATTTGTAGATTCATTTGTGTCAGATCCATTGAATCAACTCAAAGGCTGTTGCCATTCCCCTTATATTTTATGTTAGTGTCTACATCTTGGGAGATGTATTCCTCAACAGTGTGACACATCTTCCGATGATATCTCTATGGTAACATAGCATCTTATAATGACCGTATCTTAAATAAAGCGACAAAACAATTTCCATACACATCAATATTAGTGACAAAACTCTTTCCTTTCCAAATTCACGACATTTCTGTTAAATGTGGGGTAGAGTACGACTCCGACTATGTCATGAGCATGTGTTTTAAATCACTGACAAATGATGGCAGGTATTTGCGAAAACGTGGGCGTATCCTGACCTATCGGTGCCACTCGTCACAACCACATGCAAAGGCAAGTCAATTGTTCACTTGAAACAAATAGGGAATTGCATCGGACATCATGTTTGACAATGATGCGTCAAATTTTAGAAATGTTCTCCACATGTCTAACATAAAACTTCGAAACCTTTACCGAGGCCTTGTCTGTTGTAACCCTTTTGAGTGAGAGTCGTATGGCGCTTCTTTGAAGTCTTCGAAAAAAACCATGCTCGATTGTATGTCAAAAGTTGAGACATTTTTACGTCAAAAGCTGGAGCTGAAGGGAAAAATGCTCGACATATTGGGGATGCTGACAATTGTTAAGTTGAAGTCATCCCTCTTGTCATATAGTCTTGTGGATACTTTCTTTTTGTCACTCTGAATCTTTATACACAGATATAGATAGGAAACAGATGAGGCGGTTTCTCTGACACATCATCAAACTCGTTGGGAAAACTTTATTGTAATCCAAATTTACATATGTGGACTTTTTATCCGATGAATGACACGTATAGGGGAACGATTGTAGTGAGTGAGTGAGTGAGTTGGGCTTAACGCCGCTTTTAACAGTATTCCAGTTATATCGCGGCGTGTCAGCTTCATGTGGGAGGAAAGCCCGAAGTGATGCAGGTCTCAGACGTTTACCACTTCGGTGAAACCCACGAGCACGGGTATGGTGCTGACAAACCTAGAAACATAATAGGGGCGAACCGGGATTCGAACCCACAATCATAGGTTTCTGGCGTGCCCAAGGGACGCAACTCTGCACAGCGAATCGCGGCGCCTTAGACGACTAGGCCACCCGTGCCCCCTGGGAACGATTGTAAAGTCGTATTATCTGCTTGTGTCAACATATTATGTGATTAATATGTGATTATTGTAACACTATGAGTGTGGCGTCCCAAGTGTGGGGTAACCAGTTGAATGTCTACTCATAGATAGTAAATAGTTGATTTGTGTTTTCACTTCATATTTTAAATCCCTCGTGAGGATTTCGGGTTAGGATTGTGTCCCCAGCAATCCATGGTTGTTGGGGGAGGCGACTAACGTCATCGAGTGGTTAGACTCTTGATCGTATCCCATTTACGTGGAACGATGCTCATGATGTCGATCACTGGATTGTCTTGTCCAGATTCGATTACTTACAGACCGCCTTCATGTAGCTGGAATGTTGCTGAGTGTGGCGCCATTTGGCTGGATTGTTGCAGGCTGCTCGTTAAAAAAGGTCGAGCATGTGTAAGAACCTTAAGCTCGTGAACACTGATTTAAGTGAGTGAGTATTGTTTTACGCCGCGTTTAGCTATATTCCGCACGTCACGCCGAAGACCCGGGTTCGAGTCCCGACATGGGTACAGTGTGTGAAGCCCATTTCTGGTGTCCCCCGCCGTGATATTGCTGGAATATTGCTAAAAGCGGCGTAAAACCATTCTCACTCACTACTATCTTTAACAATGGAAAGAGATTATAACCATCCCAAATGTCAATATATGAATCAATGTGTAAATGCCATTAACAATCGTTTATTTATTTCAGGGATACCTGCTCTATTAACCATAATATACACAACAGTGAAAGCTACACGGGGGCATCACAACGACAGGTTAGTTTACTTAAGCCTCATATAGTTTTTACTTGATATATGTGTTTTACTTGTTTGCGTGTTTACTTATTTACTTGGCATATTTGTTTTACATGTTTACTTGTTTTACTTGGTATAATTATTTTACCTGTTTACGTGTTTACGTTTTTACTTGGTATATTGTTTTACTGGGTATATGTGTTTTATTTGTCTATTTGTTTTACTTGTTTTATTGATCCGCAGGCCTAACAACAACCAATCAGTGTTGTATGTATGTTATGCCGCCGACATTAAAAATCATTTTGAGAAGAAATATATTCTCAAAATATTTCCCTTCGACTGATCATCAAAACTTGAAATGTCATGAATACAGACCCTTACAAATCTGACGTAAAATTATTATATAAGGGACCCATTTAAGTTTCAAAATTTCAGGGCAAGTGACTTTGTTCGAATTGTGCCTCTGTTCATCCTGCAGTGAATGGGTACCCGGTAGGATGAGATGTCAATGTGATTGTTAACCTTTGAGGGCCTCACATACAGCTTTGGTTGTATACTCCCCAGGGAGCTGAGAATAATTTTTTTTAGTGCAAACTGATCCATTGACCGGGGTAATAAAATGTCTAAGCGCTGAGAACATGTCTATGCATGGAGTACTAAATGGATTATTATTATTATCATTATTATTATAATCATTATTATTATATATTTTGCCGAAGCATCAGATTTTTATTTCCACCAACCGACCAAATTTTCTGCAATAAGACCTGTTACCTTACAAAAAAACAAAACAGTCTGATAGTAGTACTACCTTGAAATTCTTTCTGAACTCTCTTTGTTATGAACTATTCGATTTCCGGATTTGTTTTGGGGAAAAGCACTCTACCCCTACGTAAACTGTCAGAGTGATAAGTGAGAATTGACGTCGTGCTAGAAATGTCATTACGTCATGAACCAACAGATTACGCCATATGACTCCGTGATAATTAACCCTACCTGCTTAATTAGCAGAATGTGGAACATTGCAACTAAGTCCATATTGTTCTGTATTGGTGTGGTATCCATTTTGTCCAGTCGAATGATACGTTTACTACAGCAACGAAGCGCGCTGTGTGCTGTATTGGCAGACAGTCTCATAACAGGGAGGAATGTAGACTTGGAAGGTCGAATGTAGACTAAGAAGGTCGAATGTAGACTAGGAAGGTCGAATGGAGACTCGGAAGGTCGAATGTATACTTGGAAGGTCGAATGTAGACTTGGAAGGTCGAATGTAGACTTGAAAGGTCGAATGTAGACTTGGAAGGTCGAATGTAGACTTGAAAGATCGAATGTAGACTTGGAAGGTCGAATGTAGACTTGGAAGGTCGAATGTAGACTTGAAAGATCGAATGTAGACTAGGAAGGTCGAATGTAGACTAGGAAGGTCGAATGTAGACTTGGAAGGTCGAATGTAGACTTGGAAGGTCGAATGTAGACTTGGAAGGTCGAATGTAGACTAAGAAGGTCGAATGTAGACTTGGAAGGTCGAATGTAGACTTGGAAGGTCGAATGTAGACTAGGAAGGTCGAATGTAGACTAGGAAGGTCGAATGTAGACTAGGAAGGTCGAATGTAGACTAGGAAGGTCGAATGTAGACTTGGAAGGTCGAATGTAGACTTGGAAGGTCGAATGTAGACTTGGAAGGTCGAATGTAGACTTGGAAGGTCGAATGTAGACTAAGAAGGTCGAATGGAGACTTGGAAGGTCGAATGTAGACTAGGAAGGTCGAATGGAGACTTGGAAGGTCGAATCTAGACTTAGAAGGTCGAATGTAGACTTGGAAGGTCGAATGTAGACTAGGAAGGTCGAATGGAGACTTGGAAGGTCGAATGTAGACTTGGAAGGTCGAATGTAGACTTGGAAGGTCGAATCTAGACTTGGAAGGTCGAATGTAGACTTGGAAGGTCGAATGTAGACTAGGAAGGTCGAATGTAGACTTGGAAGGTTGAATGTAGACTTGGAAGGTCGAATGTAGACTAGAAAGGTCGGATGTAGACTTGGAAGGTCGAATGTAGACTTGGAAGGTCGAATGTAGACTTGAAAGGTCGAATGTAGACTAGGAAGGTCGTATGTAGACTTGGAAGGTCGAATGTAGACTTGGAAGGTCGAATGTAGAAGTTCACCCAACAAAGAAAAAATGGCATTTTCCAGAAAAGATAATATTCTTATAAAATTACAGAAAAACGCTGACTGATTTGTTGCAATATAATATTTTGGGTCGAGATTTTAGATTTCAAATGTTACGTCACCAATTATGTATGATCTATACAAATAAGCCTCTCGTTGTGTATTTACAAGTGCGAAGAAACGGTGCACTGACAATCTAGTTTTAAAACCAACATTCAGTTATGTATTCACTGACTGCTTCCTTGAACACGCTTGTTAAACATCATAAAGATGCTAAATGGGGACGTTATTTAAATGACATTGATATCTGACACTTGAGACTTTGAGCCATCCCCTGCAAGGAATATGGCGCCATCTAGTGAGGGATCCGAAACCTTACGAAAGTGGGCCAAGCTGTGATTGTTCGTTGAAAGTAATCCCCATTTCAAGAATGTGGCTCTAAAAACAGACGGCTATCTATGATCATGCTAGGTGCCACACAGACCATGAAGGATCAAACCTCTGACACTGAAACGGCATTGCCATTAACAAGATGTGGAAGATGTACACTGGTTTGGCTTTATCACATTTGATGAAAGAAAAACAACCTCATTATTTCTGATTCTTGAATCTTCTTCATCAGAATCTGATAATTGAGTGTTAACGGTTCTTGTGTTTTCCTCTCAAACTCATATTTAATGTCATAAATGTAATGCACAATGTTCTGCTTGTATCTTTTTCGTAGCTTAAAACAATGATCCTATTAATACCCCGTAAGAACGATTGTCGGTTGAATTGATATCGTTATTAGTACGACCGTGCCTTTAGGTCTTGTGTCTTGCCCGTCATATATTGTGTTTTATGTCTTGTGCGTCATGTCTGTGCTTGTATGTCACGACTGCGTGTTGCATCTTGTATGTCATGACTGCCTGTTGCGTCTTGTACCTCATGACTTGTGTGATGCGTCTTCTACGTCATGACACGTGTTGCCTTTTGTACGTCATGGCTGTGTTGCGTCTTGTACTTCATGATTTATATGTTGCTTCTTGTACGCCATGACTGACTGTTGCGTCGTGTACATCATAACTTGTGTGTTGCATCTTGTACGTCAACACTTGGGTGTTGCGTCTTGTGCGTCATGCCTTATGAGTTGCGTCATGTACGTCATGACTGGGGGTTGCGTAATGTACATGACTTGTGTGTGGTGTCTTGAACGTAATGACTTGTGTGTTGCTTCTTGTACGTCATGACTTATGTTGCGTCTTGTACGTCATGGCTGCGTGTTGCGTCTTGTACGTCATGACGTATGTTGCGTCTTGTACGTCATGGCTGCGTGTTGCGTCTTTTTCGTCATGACTTATAATGCGTCTTGTACGTCATGGCTGCGTGTTGCGTCTTGTTCGTCATGACGTGTGTCTTTTACCCTTTGTCTCGTGTCTTGTACGTCACATCTGGAAATTACTGTACGTCATGTCATTTACGGTGTATGGAGTATATTGTACGTCATACACATGTATTCTAAACCGTGTTTGTTATCAAGTGTACGTCTTGTCAGGTTCGTCGTGCCTGGTTCATATATGGTATTTCTGGTATATACATGTGTATTGTATTTCTTGTGCGTGTATGGTGCGCCCCTCTTTAATTTAACAGGCAATGCAAAAATAACATATCTTCTTTCAGCTGCTGGGTATTTCCTGATTCTTACCAGTGGATTCTGTACGGTCCTGTAATATTCTCAGTACTGGTAAGTACAACAGTATTGTCTGAACTATCGGCAGTAACTCTTTTCGCCAACATTAGATTACACCTCAAAACATCCTCACATTGCTTGTTCCAATATAAGAGTGTGAGTGAGTGACAGCATTCCAGTTATGTCGCGGCGTGTCGGCTTAATGTGGAAGGAAAACCAGAAGTGATGCAGGTCTCAGACGTTTACCACTTCGGTTCGAATCCCAGTTTTACCATGATTGTGTTACTAGGTTTGTTAGGACCATTCCCGGGTTTATGGTGATAAACGTCTGAGATCTGCATCACATCAAGCTGACCTACTGTGATAAGTACTGTTCAAGCCGTCCTTAAACTGACTGACTGACTGACTGACTGACTGACTGACTGACTGACTGACTCACTCACTGGCTCACTCACTCACTCACTCACTCACTCACTCACTCACTCACTCCCTAAGACTGTATTCAAATACCGATATTCAAACATGCGTGTTTCCGAACATTAAACCGCCGATGTTACCTTATACTTTATTTTTAAAAGTAAAACGTTAAATATCGGTGACAAAAAGCTATAAAGTTAGCTAAGTTATGTTTTTGTTTTATGAACGAAAAACATGAAAAAACATTTCATTGTACCATTTCCTCTCTGTAAATACACATGTATTTTCTGTTTTCTATCGCCCAACGCACGACAACATGGAAGCTGTTTCTAATAATTAACGGGCCGATGTCCCCAGTGATTAATAAACCTCTCTCTTGTTGGTGTAGGGTTCTGGACAGGCAAAAAGACCTCAAAACTAAACTGGCAGAAGCTTTTGAAGTACACTCAATCATATTAACGACACTGGGGATGGAGGTGGCATGTTTTGAGAACGAAAACAGCATGGGTTGTTTGTGTTATTGATGTATCATCGTTTATCATCTTGCCACTGCTGTCGTGATGTCGTGACTTGTATCTTTTGATCCGTTTCAGGTCAACATCTGCATCTTGATCAACATCATCCGTTTACTTGTCACAAAGTTGCGACAAATTCCAGAGGCGTCACAAAGCAAGTGAGTGCATAGAGTGAGTGGGTGATTGCATAGAGTGAGTGGGTGATTGCATAGAGTGAGTGGGTGAGTGCATAGAGTGAGTGGGTGAGTGCATAGAGTGAGTGGGTGATTGCATAGAGTGAGTGGGTGAGTGCATAGAGTGAGTGGGTTATTGCATAGAGTGAGTGGGTGAGTGCATAGAGTGAGTGGGTGATTGCATAGAGTGAGTGGGTGAGTGCATAGAGTGAGTGGGTTATTGCATAGAGTGAGTGGGTTATTGCATAGAGTGAGTGGGTGAGTGCATAGAGTGAGTGGGTGATTGCATAGAGTGAGTGGGTGAGTGCATAGAGTGAGTGGGTGATTTTATAGAGTGAGTGGGTGATTTTATAGAGTGAGTGCATAGAGTGAGTGGGCGAGTGCATAGAGTGAGTGGGTGAGTGCATAGAGTGAGTGGGTTATTGCATAGAGTGAGTGGGTGATTTTAAAGAGTGAGTGGGTGATTTTATTGAGTGAGTGCATAGAGTGAGTGGGCGAGTGCATAGAGTGAGTGGGTGAGTGCATAGAGTGAGTGGGTGAGTGCATAGAGTGAGTGGGTTATTGCATAGAGTGAGTGGGTTATTGCATAGAGTGAGTGGGTGATTTTATAGAGTGAGTGGGTGATTTTATAGAGTGAGTGCATAGAGTGAGTGGGTGAGTGCATAGAGTGAGTGGGTGATTGCATAGAGTGAGTGGGTTATTGCATAGAGTGAGTGGGTTATTGCATAGAGTGAGTGGGTGATTTTATAGAGTGAGTGGGTGATTTTATAGAGTGAGTGCATAGAGTGAGTGGGTGAGTGCATAGAGTGAGTGGGTGAGTGCATAGAGTGAGTGGGTGAGTGCATAGAGTGAGTGGGTTATTGCATAGAGTGAGTGGGTTATTGCATAGAGTGAGTGGGTGATTTTATAGAGTGAGTGGGTGATTTTATAGAGTGAGTGCATAGAGTGAGTGGGTGAGTGCATAGAGTGAGTGGGTGAGTGCATAGAGTGAGTGGGTTATTGCATAGAGTGAGTGGGTTATTGCATAGAGTGAGTGGGTTATTGCATAGAGTGAGTGGGTGATTTTATAGAGTGAGTGGGTGATTTTATAGAGTGAGTGCATAGAGTGAGTGGGCGAGTGCATAGAGTGAGTGGGTGAGTGCATAGAGTGAGTGGGTGAGTGCATAGAGTGAGTGGGTTATTGCATAGAGTGAGTGGGTTATTGCATAGAGTGAGTGGGTGATTTTTATAGAGTGAGTGGGTGATTTTATAGAGTGAGTGCATAGAGTGAGTGGGCGAGTGCATAGAGTGAGTGGGTGAGTGCATAGAGTGAGTGGGTTATTGCATAGAGTGAATGGGTGATTTTATAGAGTGAGTGGGTGATTTTATAGAGTGAGTGCATAGAGTGAGTGGGCGAGTGCATAGAGTGAGTGGGTGAGTGCATAGAGTGAGTGGGTGATTGCATAGAGTGAGTGGGTTATTGCATAGAGTGAGTGGGTTATTGCATAGAGTGAGTGGGTGATTTTATAGAGCGAGTGGGTGATTTTATAGAGTGAGTGCATAGAGTGAGTGGGTGAGTGCATAGAGTGAGTGGGTGATTGCATAGAGTGAGTGGGTTATTGCATAGAGTGAGTGGGTTATTGCATAGAGTGAGTGGGTGATTTTATAGAGTGAGTGGGTGATTTTATAGAGTGAGTGCATAGAGTGAGTGGGCGAGTGCATAGAGTGAGTGGGTGAGTGCATAGAGTGAGTGGGTGAGTGCATAGAGTGAGTGGGTTATTGCATAGAGTGAGTGGGTTATTGCATAGAGTGAGTGGGTGATTTTATAGAGTGAGTGGGTGATTTTATAGAGTGAGTGCATAGAGTGAGTGGGTGAGTGCATAGAGTGAGTGGGTTATTGCATAGAGTGAGTGGGTTATTGCATAGAGTGAGTGGGTTATTGCATAGAGTGAGTGGGTGATTTTATAGAGTGAGTGCATAGAGTGAGTGGGCGAGTGCATAGAGTGAGTGGGTGAGTGCATAGAGTGAGTGGGTTATTGCATAGAGTGAGTGGGTGAGTGCATAGAGTGAGTGGGTTATTGCATAGAGTGAGTGGGTTATTGCATAGAGTGAGTGGGTTATTGCATAGAGTGAGTGGGTGATTTTATAGAGTGAGTGCATAGAGTGAGTGGGTGAGTGCATAGAGTGAGTGGGCGAGTGCATAGAGTGAGTGGGTGAGTGCATAGAGTGAGTGGGTGAGTGCATAGAGTGAGTGGGTTATTGCATAGAGTGAGTGGGTTATTGCATAGAGTGAGTGGGTGATTTTTATAGAGTGAGTGGGTGATTTTATAGAGTGAGTGCATAGAGTGAGTGGGCGAGTGCATAGAGTGAGTGGGTGAGTGCATAGAGTGAGTGGGTTATTGCATAGAGTGAATGGGTGATTTTATAGAGTGAGTGGGTGATTTTATAGAGTGAGTGCATAGAGTGAGTGGGCGAGTGCATAGAGTGAGTGGGTGAGTGCATAGAGTGAGTGGGTGATTGCATAGAGTGAGTGGGTTATTGCATAGAGTGAGTGGGTTATTGCATAGAGTGAGTGGGTGATTTTATAGAGCGAGTGGGTGATTTTATAGAGTGAGTGCATAGAGTGAGTGGGTGAGTGCATAGAGTGAGTGGGTGATTGCATAGAGTGAGTGGGTTATTGCATAGAGTGAGTGGGTTATTGCATAGAGTGAGTGGGTGATTTTATAGAGTGAGTGGGTGATTTTATAGAGTGAGTGCATAGAGTGAGTGGGCGAGTGCATAGAGTGAGTGGGTGAGTGCATAGAGTGAGTGGGTGAGTGCATAGAGTGAGTGGGTTATTGCATAGAGTGAGTGGGTTATTGCATAGAGTGAGTGGGTTATTGCATAGAGTGAGTGGGTTATTGCATAGAGTGAGTGGGTTATTGCATAGAGTGAGTGGGTGATTTTATAGAGTGAGTGCATAGAGTGAGTGGGTGAGTGCATAGAGTGAGTGGGTTATTGCATAGAGTGAGTGGGTTATTGCATAGAGTGAGTGGGTGATTTTATAGAGTGAGTGGGTGATTTTATAGAGTGAGTGCATAGAGTGAGTGGGCGAGTGCATAGAGTGAGTGGGTGAGTGCATAGAGTGAGTGGGTTATTGCATAGAGTGAGTGGGTGATTTTATAGAGTGAGTGGGTGATTTTATAGAGTGAGTGCATAGAGTGAGTGGGCGAGTGCATAGAGTGAGTGGGTGAGTGCATAGAGTGAGTGGTGAGTGCATAGAGTGAGTAGGCGAGTGCATAGAGTGAGTGGGTGAGTGCATAGAGTGAGTAGGTAAGTGAATAGAGTGAGTGGTGAGTGCATAGAGTGAGTAGGCGAGTGCATAGAGTGAGTGGGTGAGTGCATAGAGTGAGTAGGTAAGTGAATAGAGTAAGTGGTGAGTGCATAGAGTGAGTGGATGAGTGCATAGAGTGAGCAGGCGAGTGCATATAGTGAGTGGGTGAGTGCATAGAGTGAGTAGGTGAGTGAATAGAGTAAGTGGGCGAGTGCATGGAGTCCGTGGGTGAGTGCATAGGGTGAGTGGGCGGGTGCATAGAGTGAGTGGGCGAGTGCATAGAGCAGGCGGGAGAGTGTATAGAGTTAGTGGGCGAGTGCATAGAGTGGGCGGGCGAGTGTATAGAGTGAGTAGGTGGGCGAGTGCATAGAGTGAATGGACGAGTGCATAGAGTGGGCGGGCGGGTGTATAGAGTGTGTGGGTGGGCGAGTGCATAGTGTGAGTGGGTGGGCGAGTACATAGAGTGAGCGGGCGAGTGCATAGAGTGCGTGAGTCGTTGAGTGCAAGTAATACCTTAGTTATATAAGTGCATTGAGAGGGTTCATGGCGTGAGTGAGTGGAGTAGTAGTAGTAGCAGTAGTTGTTGTAGTAGTAGTAGTAGTAGTAGTAGTAGTAGTAGTAGTAGTAGTAGTAGTAGTGCTGTAACAATATAAATCACTATTCCAGAAAGGCGGCTCGGGCCACGTTGATCCTGGTCCCCCTGTTTGGCCTTCAGTACCTGGTGTTCCCAGTCCGCCCTGACAAAGACTCTCCCCTCTACGAGTTCTACCATTACTTCATTGCGCTGTTGACGTCACTGCAGGTAGGTGTTGCAACTCAGGAGGTGTACATGTAAGGGGTATGTGTGGAACTTTTGTGAATACAAAAAAGGAACTATTAGTGATCATAATTCTTTGCGCGTACTCAGTGTTTTGTGAGACAGACATGATGTCACTCTCAAGTTCCATGATGCAGCGTGTGCTTGTTTGTTGTAAAACGTCACACTCTGCAATGTTCCAACTGACTGACAGAGGCCTGTAAATAAATGAGTGAGTGAGTGAGTGAGTTTGGTGCTTTGAACAGTACTTCAGTATATTACGCGTGTCAGATTGAACATTTATTTTGGCATCAAACCGCCGACGTTCTGCTCTCCAGGAAGATACTCTGTTCACTACACCAAGGAGACGACGTTCAAGTTTAGAAGACAGATACATTTCCACAAGAGAACATGAAATACATATGTCCTATCACCAATTCAAGTTTTTAGACCCGCGAATAGGGTTAGAATAGGTCTTCAGCAACCAATGCTTGCCCTAAAAGGCGACTCGCTGACTTGGTTGATGCATGTCATCGTATCCCAATGGCGTGGATCGATGCTCATGATATCAATCACTGGATTGGCTGGTCCAGACTCGATTTATAGACCGCCTTCATATAGCTGGAATATTGCTGAGTGCGACGTTGAACAACTAACAAATAAACAAACAAACAAACAAACAAACACACAAGTAACTAAAATCCCATTCTTCCTAAGTGCTTTTGTTCTCTGGTTGCAGGGAGCCCTAGTCTCGGTCATGTACTGCTTTTGTAACGGCGAAGTAAGTACAAGTCTATTAATTCTTTGTTATCCCCGCCCAACAAAGTTGGCGGGGATATAGAAACGGGCTCCGTCCGTCCGTCCGTCCATCCGTCACGTTTCGTTTCCGGAGCATAACTCAGAAACCGTTCAATAATTTTTCATGAAACTTTGCAGGCCTGTCAAGTACATGCTGAACTTGTGCCTTTTGCTATTAAGAAATTTTAGAATTTTTTATTTTTTACGTTTCCATGGCAACAAGATGGACTTCAAGATGGTTCCAAACTCTTCATTTTGTTACAATTACCATGACAAGTTCCACCTCGGTTAAAAAAGGAAGGTTAGGGTTTGTTTAGATTTAATTATGTCATAAATTCTGCAACAGGGGCGGGGGATATAGCCACGTTAGTGGCAAACTCTCGTTTCTGTTACACCACAAGATCCTTATCCAACTTATGGCAACACCTAACCTGATCCCCACGGAGTATTTTGTTACAAACACATACAAGCCAAAAAGGCCTTCAGTAACTGGGCTCACTTGCAAAGAGTTCACACTTTGTTTGATTTCACGTGTATATCCTGGGTAAATATCCCTTTGTGCAAGTGGTGCAAATTCTATAGCATACAGCGACCTTTGTATAATTTCATAACGTTAGCAAACTAATAATAAGATTATACCTCTGTTTACCCACCTGTGAATGGGTACGCGGTTGGATGAGATGGTAATATGGCTGTTAACCTTCTACCACCTCACTTTACTGACTTTACTGATATCTATAATTCATTGCGATGATTATGTATTCAATCCATTTGTTACGTATTCCCAATAGGACACAACTTCAGTTTTCTCATGTCAACTGAAACTGAAACTGCAATCAAGCAATTATCATAATATGTATATCAAGAAATGATATATATATATATCATCTCGATCTCTATCAATATGGTATAGTTTCCCACGCAAGGTGATGGTTTGTGGCCGGGACCTTCGGCCTATAGGACGTGATGAATAAACACATTTGATGTCCCATAACTGGCTTGCTGTACAGGCGAGTGTGGACTTTTAAGATCTTGGCTCTCGCCTATCGGTGTATCGCTGGTACAGCAGTTATATATCTGTCCGACCTACTGCAGGCATACACGCCCGTGAAATCTCTCTGGTCCTCAAGTCAGATAAAGGAAGGGCACAGCTAACGACTTATCATTTCGGACTCTATGCCAACCTATTGATTCTGTTATTGTTATGCGCTTTTACCTTGGTGTTGTACAGATGAACATCTATATGAAAATAGTACCAAACAGTTGGTTTCTGATGTAATAAACCGATGCGTTTTGCCATATCCGACCTGAGATCCGACTACATTGCATCCATTGGACGCATATGAAGTATCGTCATGATCATGTTCTTTTTCACAAGTACATGTTATATATACATAAATTTAATATAAATCACGTCATTAAATAACTAATTTTCGGTTCCTGTATCTCAATATGCATGCCACTCGGTAAACAAAACCAAATGTGCTTCGTCAGAAAATAAATACTGGATACGATTTTAATAATTGCTAATTTACATGGAAATATAGATAGTTAGTGGTGCTTAATTATTGTCCAGACGTGTATACCGTAGCCTATGTTATGTCATACTACTGATTTATTTACGGTTAAATCTTAATAATAACCTTTTGTCTGTTTCCCGAGTCACATACAAATATTGTAGACATTTGATTCTCAATTGTGTGCACAACGACACGCTTCTATAACGTTAACACTACACGTTCACATTTTCGCGAACACCCAGTGTCATCATTATTGCATAGTGATTCATAAACACATACTTATGATACAGTCAGAATCTTACAATGGACTCGGCTTTTAGTAGATATGTCTTATGATTATGGAAAGGGTTTTGTCGTTTTTATCTACATCTTGAATTGGTCACAATGTACAGTTCGTGGAATGGCCACACACTGCTGCGGCCAGGCGTGGTGCCAAACTAAATACTGATTTGATGTCAAGGGGCTGAATGCTTGAAGAGATTATCAGACAACATATAACGTCTTGGATGATGAACCGAAGTGTTTACGACAGGTCAGGAATATTATTCTTCCCCAGATAGCACAGCAATATAGTATAATGGTACACCTGATTAGGAGTTTATATGTCCTATTAAATATATAGGTCAAGGGGTTTCAGATTTGCTGAACCCTAATTAATTATCAACTATTTTTTATCGCTAAGCTGTTATCTAAGGTTAAAAGCGGTTTCATGATTAAATGCTTCACCGTTAAGTATATATTGACATTGTTGTATTGATAATAACAGTTAAGCGTGATACGAACGCTGTATGTACAAATGCATCATAAGTGAGTGCGTATGGTTTTATGCCGCTGTTAGCTATATTCCAGCAATATCATAGCAGGGGATATCCAAACGGGGCTTCACACATTGTACCCATGTTGGGAATGGAATTCAGGCCTTTGGTGAAAAGTGAACTTTTTTCTTTTCTTCGCAAATACTTTGACGAAAAATATTTCGGGAGCAGATTATTCAAACAACCATTTCGACACCTTTCAAACAAGCAGATCTTGTAACGAATAGTCCAAAACTGATACACGGCGTTATTTGGTACAGCGTTTCAATAATCTTCAACCACATTTACAATTTAGAGTTTTGAGTTATATTAGCAGAAAATCATTTAAACTGACTTATATCAGTTCGACTCTCCAAGGATCTCCACGGTTCCATTTGCGAATCCGTGTTGCCTCTCAGACGCCAGGAAAGAGGTTGTCCACTTCAAATGATTAAAGTACCTTATTCTCAAGACAAGTGGAGAGCATATCAGATTCCATTTGGACAGTGCGTGACTTGCAACCAATTGGCAGAACTGCTGCAGAATCGCTTAATATGGAAGGACCTTTAGCTCCTGGCACGAAACCTACCAATTCTTAAAATCTCATCGACTGGATGTTTTAGTTGTTCTTTCTGGCTTAAACTCGAAATAATGCGACAAACCTCTGAGGTATCTGCGTGCTGTGTCTGTTACACTTGAGGACAATTTGATTTGATGTATCTGCAAATGGCAAATATTTCCCCTTAAGATTCCCGACTTGCGTTTCACGTCCAATGAACTAGCCAAGTGACGCTGTGAATAAAAATGGCCACTTATTTATGCGTTTTACTCACACCAAGCGCGTGATCATTTGTGTATACAGTGAAATAACGTTATCAAATTTCTAGAGGAACATGTCAGCTTTTATATGGATTAATCTAACACTAATAGTTCTAAATAGAACAGACAACCATATAACTAAGTTACAGCCTTGGTCTTGTTCCCTTCCAAAGTGGCCCTTGATTTAATATCACGTTTAATGTCAAGACTAATCTCATGAAAAGTAAACACGTTTTTGTTCACATTGTGCAATGATGAATTTTGTTGATGCATATGGACGTATCATCGCATTGTGAAAGAACGTAAAAGTCCAAAGGGTGTAGGAAATTACAAAGTGTTACTTATTGGTTTTCCCTATGTTAGTTGTGTGTAAAAGAAGCGTTACTTTGTGGCGGTACATAGACGTTTTTTGAAGGTTATAAGATGTCTTCGTGTTGAATTCAGTTAAAGATACTTTGGTTGAGGATGTTTTGATTGCATGAACACATCGAACGTGGAAGAAAACCTGGATTACCAGAGGGCTGACAACCTGTTTTAGGATATGTTGTGTAGTTCAGTGTAATGGGTATTTTTTGATGGTTGTTTAACGTCACACTCAGCAATATGCTAACCATATGACTGCGGTCTGTACATAATCGAGTCTGGACTAGACAAAACAGTGATTGACATTATTATCTACGTAATCGGGATACGATGACATGTAATCAACCAAGTCATCGAACCTGACTACCCAATCCATTCGCCATCTCTTTCAAGAACAGGTTGCAGGGACATATATTCCTACTCGGTATCCCAATCGGTCATTTCAGTGTAAACGATTATGAGTACATGAATGTATCCTCATATTTATAACCCAATGTAGCTGTATTTTTCAACAATATCAAGTGTATTGTTGTTTTTTGTCACGTCATGGCGTACAGGGAGTGAATGAGTGAATATGGTTTACGCCGCTTTTTGCAAAATTCCAGCAATATCACGGCGGGGATCCGGGACACCAAAAATGGACTTCAGCACGACGAACGACCGCTTTAACCTCTTTTATTTTATTGTTTATTTGTTGCTTAACGCCGCACTCAGCAATATTCCAGATACATGACGGCGGTCTGTAAACGATCAAGTCATCATGCATCAACCAAGTCAGCGAGCCTGACCACCCGATCCCGTTAGTCGCCTCTTACGACAAGCATAGTCACCTCTTACGACAAGCATGGCTTGCTAAAGACCTCTTCTACCCCGGATCTTCGCGTTTAGCTTTAACCTCTAAGTTACCCCACCTCCTTCGTGTACAGACAAATTCGAAGAATACAATACGATATATTTCATCTTTCATTACACAATACATTTCTCTCCTTTAAATACACAATATTTTCCAAAAGCCGGCTAGACTTCGATATCATAATCTAGACTATTTTTGGTTTCATAAAATACATATATTCGACAGTCCTGCAGAACTGTATATGACTTTCGTGGCACCATATACAAAATAGATTTTGTTAGGACTACATAAAGTACAGACACAGATTGCCTGAAACGACATACATGTATAGTGAGTCATAACATTCGTCTTGTTAAACCTTGCACCCATACCTAACGGATATATGAACCATGAAGACATGAAGAACATGATCAAATGATGACATATTAGGAACTCGAGTTTCTGAAATTCTACTAAAACGTATTTATAACAGGCAGTTAAGTAATTTGCTCACGAACAGGGCTCCTTAATTGTTTACAACTTCATCAGTAATATCCAGAGATCCGATAAGCAGAACGTTTAATATGATATACAGCCATAACACAAATTCTAAATAAGGTGTTCGCTGTCTCGTATTTTTCAAAACCAGCTTTGTATCGGAAGTATCGCTTTGATGTTGAGAGTGGGTATGAGTTTCCAGGATTCGATTCCTCAATTATACGAGCTGTGCTTTGCGGCGCCTTAGATGACTTGGATGGCAGAGTTCTAATACAAGCGTAGAATGATTCATTAATCGTATTTCTGGAAGAAGAAAAAATACCATAAGAAACATATTTGCTAACAAAGAGCATCAAAAGTTGCTTAATTAGGTTAGTTAAGTAGGGGTTGTATTATGGTGGGCTGTGCCTTTAGAAAATTGGAAATAATAGTGTTACCCGAGTGTCCTTGGGCATAAATGGGTCGTTATTCTTGTGATGCTTCTTCAACGTTGACGTAAATCACTGACAAAAAAACTCATTATTTTTGTCTGTTCTGGCAGGTGACATCAATAGTCCGCCGGAAGTGGCACCAACACAGACTGATGACTGGCCATGTCCGGAAGAACACGACCTCTGCTACCTTGTATACAGAAGCCTACTCTGTCATGCACTCCTCCAACAAAGATCTCTCTGGACAAAAGTCAAAGGTCGCTTCCGATCTTTACAATAAGGCGTTGGTAAGTAAAGTAAGTATACACTTAGCTTTTTCAGATATTCTTTGACCAGGGTTTCAATGATTATCGAAGGTTTCATCATCAAAGGCCCCGTTTAGTCATTCAAGAAATGTTATGGCAGATGTTCAGAGGGATTTTCGTTTTTCATCACGATGCTCGAAGCTATTCCATGATATGGCCACTTCACACGTCCTTACTCTCTAGCACTTAGTTCTTTTAAGGAAAATTGTGTGAGTGGCGGGTGCTACCGGTAGAGCAGGACATGCCTACCCTTTTTGCAACACCTCTTGTCGTCAGTCATTTTCAGTGATCCATTCAATTTGTTACTAAAGGCCTTTTACGCCAAATGGAATCTGTTTCGGCAGATATGCGAGACTGGTTATTCTTTGACAATGATGTTTAAAATTGTTATACTGGAATCCAAAGTCCGGTGCCTATTTACAAGCATTTACAAGGGGCGCCATTCCACTGTAATCAATGTTACGGGGTGTTTATCGTCACTTCAGGAAATTATTCCTTTTCCATTGAAAGGAGAAGTCATAATTTTATCCAAGACTGGCAACCAGCATTTCCTGTGAAAAAGTTAATATATTCCCAAAACCTGAGGCCCAATTATATTTTCCCATCATTTTCTGAAACCTAATATTTATTAATTATTAAAAAGTAGCTTCTTTACTTCATTTTAACTAACTTTGAATTTTCTCTCATTCCTGACTTGATTTGAAGAGAAAAAGACTGTTCTCAACAATTTAACTTTATTGTGCTCAGGAGATCAACAGTGTTTATTATCCGCCGAAACAGATTCCATTTGACGTGAAGGGCGAAATAGCTGTGAAATGTAAATTAATGAATCACTGGCAGATTTTATGTCTCAGCCCAAACATTTCGTGGTCCGTGGTCTAAGGTATTACAAAAAACGGTTTAGATTGAACTAGAAGCAACACACATTAAGTAGAGCCATGTAACATATCGTTTCACTAATTTGATTGCAAAATTATATGATCGATTGTTTCAATCCAGTCTCATATTTTAATATAACTAGACACAGAAAAGATAGAAAGACCTAAATAACTATTAATTAATTACTCTAGATTTGATATATAAGCTTCTTATGGAAAAGGATTTATTTTGTCTTATATATCAAATATTGACCACGACCTCGTTTTAAATTTTGATAGGATTCTGTCCAAATGAAGCCTTTGAAGATAGAGACAACATCTACAACAACTCTAACGTGATAACGTCAACAACGACGTTCAGAGGTCAACGCTTGCCCTCGGGAGATTCAGTGGTCTGACGCCGACTAAGCCAAAGAAGGCATCTTCGATTGGAAGGTCTCACTCACATTCCTGTGCACTCGTTCCTACTCGCGCCTATTGTCGTGGCATGATCGTTTGGGGAAAACAGTGACGTTACCGTGATACCATACACATCGGTAAATACAGAGCACGTTATGTCTGAATATTCCAAACAAAATTGGTCTGTTCTTGCAAGACATAATAAAGATGTTCTTGTAAATAATTGTGGTTCCTGGCCAATATTATTTGTTTATATTTGTATATTATTTAAAGGGATATTCCAATCAAATATTTAAAGTATTGTATTAACTTTAAATATACCCAGTACTCATATGCGTAATAAGTTTAACCTGTTCTTATATGGGCGATCTCTGAAAGAATAATAATGAAGATTGCTTACAAGTACAAAAAAGAAAATGCAATGTGAATATTTTTAACCATAGTAAACGCTATGTGTCTATCAACAGCTAACATAGCAAATTCGACTGTCATTGAACCTATCTGATAGCTTTAACCCCATCATTCTGAAGTCTCAATAAACTTTCTAAGGTTAAGTTCATCGCTTGCATCATGTCCGATCATGTCTTTGACGCATCCATTTCAATCTCACCAAAGTTTAAAAAGCTGAATTTGGGAATTTACTTCAATGTTCAATGTTCTATGTTCTACTCTATCGCCATTGGATTGGGTTTGCATGGTGTGTCGATGATGTCATAATCTCACGACCTATCGTTCTCGTAAGACATCCGAGACAACAAAATGGCGATCTCCACAAGACGGCAAAACACTTTGCTTACCATAGCGCTTTTATGAGCATAAACAGCCTGAACCAAAGTTTCAAACACATCAGTTTGCCTCTGGAATATCCCTGTATGTGTGTACATTTCTTTGGGTCAGTCATTTCTGTGTAGAATACCAATCAATATATATTTCGTTAACTTACAATAATTATTCACCTATTTAATACCGTGTTAGAGGGTTTTCGTGAAATGGTAGCACATGTAGAGTGTTTTGTTGACATATTAAGATTACAGGTTTATTATTTTTTTCATTTCTCATCATGTTCAGTATAAGCATCATTTTTGCTTTGATGTGATTATGGTATATACTATTAAGTTTCTTGTTGTTCGAGAATATATGTGCTGATTTTGAAGTGGTACGCATATAAAGTCGCTATATATCAGGCTTGATTATGTAGAGAAAGAATATGAAAGAATGTCGATAGCGCTAAACATTAGCATTGTACATAGCATCAACCAGTATTACAATATTTTCCATATAAACATATTTTGTATTGTGTATGTACTGTACGCGGAAGTGAAAATAGTGTCATTTGTGTTAGGTATATGTTTTTCTTTCACAGTGAATCGCTTTTTTCTTTAATAAAATCACAATTATTCATTTCACTATTACGTACTACTAAACATTTGATCGGAAATATCAAAAGAAATGTTGTTTTAGATTGTGTATCTGCATATGCTTGTTTTAAGATGGAAAAGATAGACGCACACCTGTAGCTGTTTGTTGATATAAACATACTGTTGATGACATTATGAGTGTAAGTGTTTGTGAGTATTTTACAGTTTGTACTCTATAGTATTCTAGAAACATGTTGTAAATATGATAGTCTATGTTTGTAGTGTAATGTTATCGTTATCATAAAGGAAGTTTTTTTAAGGAATCTTAGTGATGTAATCGTTTTATATATTGTTCGAAATGGTAAGCACATAGATAGTTCTCTTAACAATATACATTGTGAAAACTAGGATATATACATATATGCGAATGTTAATGAGTATTCTATTTCTACATCTGACAACACATGTTTTCCGACAGAATTTCAGAATACATGTCATTTTGGTTTTCGGTAGCATTCTCCCTTTACGTTAACTCTCAAAGACTGACATGACGTCACTCTGATGCAATGGATGACGTCATATGCTTCTGAGACATGTTAACCCCACTGTAAAATAAAACATGGAGAGAACAAGCTCAGTCGAAGTTGTTCTGATTGATACTGATTACACTTAATGCATAATTAATGTGGTATTCGCTTTGTCAAGTGTAAGGGCACGTTTTTTCTGTAACCTGGAATTGAGAAAAAATAAATGCTTATCAAGGAAAAATTCGTACGCAGTTAAAAGTCTTGGAGACGTTTTTAAACCAACCAGTCTTCCATTCATTCAAATGGATTATGATATGTAATGTGCAGAAATGTAATGATGTTATGTTTGTTTCCATGACGATATCTTACATTGTTATTCCAACCTTAGAGTTGAAAACAAACCCGTTTTCAGTTTCAGTTCATATGGATAGCCTTGATGCTATCTGAAGATGAGAACCATGTGATCTACGATTTAAAACGCAATTTTATATGTTTGATATTATCTTGTTTAAAACATGTTCTACTTGATCCTGAAGAAATTGAAAAAATACTGAACTGATATTTGGATCAAGTGTATTTATTATCAAGTCCTTTTATGAGGATGAATGTTTCTGCCAAAACAAATGGTTGGTACAACAAGATTATCTTCTGAGAAATATGCAAAAGTAATTTATCATCCTGATACAAATCTGTACATTTTTAGTTGGAAGATACTGTAACAACCATTAACATCTGCGTTCAATGTACAACATGTGGACCCTAGGTGTGAACACTGTTATGAAGTTATTTGTGTGTATTTTAATACCTTTTCATTTTCATCTTTTTACTATAGTCTGTGTACGACATAAAAAGATGTGCGTGAGGAGTGGTTATTACTTACAAGTAGTCATTGACAAAATATTGTTACTTTGCGCTGTATTGTTGACGGTCAGCCATCTATTGTGATAAATTAGCTTTGCTTCAACTGAATTGTTAATTGTTATACAATGTTAAATGAGTGTTAATAAAATTTATGTTGATGAAACTTTGCTTGTATAATGAATCCTTTTTCCTGGATATGACCAAGACTATATTGTCACTGGAAGCTTCATAATCAATGCCTTAGTTATCTCCAGCTTCCAATATTATATATGGGCATACATACATTTCACTTCATTTTATACATCCTAGGGAAACAACTGTCATTTAGCAAAGAGTTAGTCATAAATATTATGCAATCTCATTAAAATCAGATCTCTTAGTTCTCGCCACCGCTAAACAAAGATCTGAGGACATCCCATTACGGGTCACGTCAGAACGAACTTTCATCCAACCAATCAGAGCGTCGCTTACCATATCATGAAAGTGACAGTCAGAATGTGTTTTCTGATCATGCAACCTCGAACTATTTAACAGAGGGTATTCCGAACGATAGTTACGGGTTTTATGATTATATCCATACAATCTAGGCAATCTATAAACCATTCCAGAATGTACTTTTGATCAGTTTTAATTTTTTTAATCGAGAATACGTCAAATTATGTTTCGAAGCGTAGTCGCCAGTTTGAAACTAGTATGGTTAAGCTCGAGAAAGCTGGCTTCTGATTGGCTAATGTCGCTTTCTTCTCAGTCATTTCATTGGTCGGTCAAAGTTCGCGAAAGGTCGTTCAGACGTGACCCGTAATGGGATGTCCTCAGTTCTTTGTTGAGCGGTAGCGAAAAATAAGATCAGATTTTAATGAGATTGAAGTATTATGTTAGTGCACAGTTAAATATTGTTCAATGATCTAGTTGAGCAGTCTTATTAAAATCACACTGCGTTACGATACCCTCTGCGTGAAGACACTTCCATAGGACATCCGGCGCCATTACCCCACTAGTGTCTGAATAGCGACTTCAACCAATTGGACACCGTTGGGGATTTTAGTAACAAGCTATGAGAAAAGGTAAAGAAACCTCGGAACTGTTGTGCACGTACATTTTCTTTCACTCACTTAATGAACCGAAAAGTGTGTAAACTGAAAATACAAATAAACATCTGAGGTCGGTGAATCGGTGTAATCGCGCTTTTAACAGTATTTTAATTATTATCTGAAAATATGAATTATACATTCGAGAGAAAATATTATATATGTAATATTACTTCATTTGAGTGAAATAACGCTTTATGCCACAGCTACTTTAAAACTGCATCAATGACAATGTGGCTTTTAGAGTTCGATCATGAAGATCAATACATTGTAAGTTATTTTCGTTATAAAAGACATGTTCTTCTCATCTCGTTACCCGACAAAGTGCCACTCATGAAGATTCCATTTGACAGATCACTGGATGGAAAAAACATCAGTAGTGACCTGGCTAAATATATACGTACCATTTGCCACTGTCTCGTGTGGAGCACTGGTAAAGTGTTTGGTTCCATGCGTCTGTAAAGATTATTTAATCATATCACGGGGTGTCAGCTAATTGTCAAGCACAAAATGATGCAGGTCGGTGAGATTTGGTAGCAGTCTGAATGGTGCTGGCAGATCATAAAAGAGGATTCGAAGCAAAGACCGCCGGATACTTGCACAAATAAGGGAAACAACTCTGCATATCAAATGTCGTGCTTGAATCAAGTGACACGAAATCAACGCGAAATAGTCTCAAACGGGCAACATGTCAATGGGGTAGAGGAACCGGGTTTGATTCCGAGGGGTTCAATGTGTAAACAAGTACTGATGTCCCGTGCTGAAATGCTAAAACAGGCCTGAAAGCTTACCTACTCCGTGCATGGAAATTACCCAACAACCAGAGTCTCCAAGCCGTCAGGCACCATGCTATTCTGCAACAATGCTTCGAGAATGCGAAAGAAACTGTATACCAGTGCTACTGATATTGATTGCTCTTTTAGTATAATAAAATCGGCAAAACCCTTTCAATAATCAAAAGAAAGCTCTTCTAAAAGTAAAGTCCATTTTACGATTTTTTCAAAAGGAAGTGTTTCACCAGGTATCATCACTATTTTGATGATAGTTATTCATAAACACCTGCTTTTAGTAAAAAAAGCTTCAGTTAAGCGTCCAAAGAGTTTTATGGTGGACATGTGGAGGACATTATCCAAGCTTGACGCATCAGTTTGACAAAAATGATTTCAGATGCAATTCTCTATTTTGACTTTTACCATATGTTCCTTTTTGGGGTGAACAGTTGACTTGCATTTGCATGTGTTTGTGATGGGTGCCACCGGTTGGGCAGGATACGCGCTGGTATCATAACTACATGTATTTGGAAGTGATTCATAAACACGTGCTCATGATATAGTTGGAGTCGTACAATCGACAATATTTCTTATGAATATGGAAAGGATCATGTCGCTTTTATTTAAAATCTTGCAGATATCTCTTATAATTATGGTATTGATTTTGTCGCTTTTATTTTGAATCACTATACAATGGTGGTGATACGGGTATTCGGTAAAAGGTAAGCGCATCCTGCCCCACTGATGGTAAATGGCAGTTTTGGGTTGAACAGATGAAGCGGTGTTGCAGTTGGTAAAATCCCTCTGGCGCTGGTTGGTATTATCAGCTTGAACATATGTGTTTGTTCCTGATAATAAAACTGTACCTCTATATCAATGTCAGAATATACCATTTGTGCGAAGCCGTCTGACGCTGTTCTAACATGCCGAGAACATTTCTGTAATCTCGCGATTAGCTTATGTGCGATGCAGAGGTAACAATAATGTATTAGGTATGTGGTGATGAAATATCTGGAAAAAAGAAGCGACAATTTACTCGTGTGGACATCTGTTATTTCCCTCGAGTGAAATGACATAGTACCTATCTCATTTGAATGAAATAGTTAGTGAGTGTGTGAGTTACGATTTATAGTCACATCGGCAATATTTCAGCCATATCGAGACTAAATCAAGTTGTACAGTTATAATACATAAATATAGACTATAAAATCTGTCGATAAACGACGGTACAAGAACTAGAGTATCACAGCTATAGATATAAAACTAGTAAGTAACAATAAAATTTTGACTAATCAGTACAATACATTATAAAAGTTGGCAAGAGATCATCAGCAACCAAAGTTAGCCACAATACAAGAGACCACGGGGACTTACGGTACATCTGCTTCCTGCGTGGCACCCCAACATGATTTACACCATCCCTAAGCAACTGTTGATTGTTAGAAAGTTTAAGCCAAAGCATTTAAAAACAAACAAGTATTCTGCAATTAAAACCATGAAAAATGAAACATACTTTGAATGGAATGGAACACTTACATAACTTTTTCAAACTGCCTCCACGACACTGTGGTTTTCAGAGTAGAATCATTAAAATCCGTAAAACGATTCATTATTAATCGAGCATTTACCATTTCTTGTCCAAATACATTCCTCATCTCGTGAACTGATCATGAAAATTTCATTTGATAGATCACTCGATGAGGTAAACAAACCATCACACTGTGAGATAAACAAACGAGGATGACTTGGAGTGGGTGAGTTTGAATAGTGTTCAACTTTTATCACCGTGTGTCAGCTTGATGTGGAAGGAAAGCCCGAAATGATGCAGGATATCAGACGTTGACCACTTTTGGTGAAACCCACGATTACGGGTATGGTGCTGACAAAACTAGAAACATAATTAAATCGAACCAGGATTCGAACCCACGATTATTGCTTCTTGGCAAGCCTGATAAGGGATGCTACTCTGTACAGTGAATTGCGACGCTTTAAACGACTGGGTCACATGTGCCCCCATCCCTGGATGAAGAAGCTCCATTTTCAAGCATGGAAAGAACACCGAGTGTGTGACTAATGCTTAACGCCGTATGAGCAATTTTGCAGCTATCGGCGGCGAGGAAAGAACATCGATGTATCGAGTGACCGCTACTTATATTTCCAGTGAGTTTTGTGTGAATTGTATTGGATTTCATATGCCTGCATTGGAATGTTTTCGATAGTGTTTGAACAGTGTTTCAGTTATATCACGACGTGTCAGCTTGATGCTAGAGGAAGGTCGTAGATGGTCAATATTTTGGTTGACACGCGTATGGTGCTAACAAAACAAGGATCGGAATCGAGACGAATATTGGTTTGAACCAGTGATCGTCGGATTCTGGCATTGGTAAGGGACGCAATTCTACTGCTGCACCTTAGACCACGGGTGCACCTGTGAAAATTACACAAGCGTATTTAGGTCACGTGTTACGGTAGGTCTTCCAGCCTTCGTTTAATTTTTTATATCTTTTCGAAACGCCCATGACATGGGTTCGATTCGTAAGCCTTTTATTTGGCGTCCACATTCGTGATGTTCCTGCAGCTGCAGCCTTTGGTGTCTACATTTCATGACTTTTGAGGTACACTAGATCATTCTCCATCTTCCAACATTTTAAAGAGCTGACATTTACACGAACATTAGGTATCATCCCTATTTGATACTGATTCACAAACACATCGTATTGATAATGTCGGATTCTGCTTTTAGTGGAGATTTCTTATGATTATGGAATATTTTTTGTCGCTTTATATTTGCTAGGGATATTGAGAGTGGCGGAGAATCATTTACTTATGATATGTATCAAAACAATGAGGTTGACTTGGCAAATATTACGGGATGTGCCACATGCGGTCTTCTTGAATTTGCTACGCTGTATCTTCTTCGTAGGACGTAATATTTCTTTCATAAGACTTCATGTCTCCTACATAGGACTTAATATATCCTCAGTTAGAGGTTATGTCTCCTTCGTAGGACTTAATGTCTCCTTCGTACATGTGCATGTAGGACTTCTTCGTAGTATGTAATATATCCTTCTTGGAACGTTATATCTTCTTCGTAGTATGTAATATATCCTTCTTGGAACGTTATATCTTCTTCGTAGTGAGTAATACATCCCCCGCAGGATTTGATATCTCTGGATGGATTTAATATCTACCTCGTATTATAAAAATATCTTTTTCATTGGACTTTATATCTTCTAAGTAGTACGTAATATATTTTTCGTAGAATTGAATATCTGCCCCGTATGATGAAATATCTCCTACGGT